GGTTGTTGTTGTTGTAGATGTTGTGGTTGTTGTTGTTGTAGATGTTGTGGTTGTTGTTGTTGTAGATGTTGTGATTGCCAATTTGAGTATGGACATTGAGTGGGAATGTAGTTGTATTAGTGTTTTCTGCTACCATATCCGACATTTACATCCATACTAAATAGTAACCGACCTTTCAAAAACTTGTGCTGTGCTTTGTGTTCTACGAGCCAGCATTATAAAAGCAACCGTCACTGTGACGTGTGCGATACGACAGGAACATTATTTTCGAACATGTATCAAGCAAAAATTATTTCTTGCGGATTCTATCACTATTTTAAATGCGCATGAATTGTTGTGCAGAATACTACAGTTCTGAATGCTAATCTATTTTAGTACAAAAACCGCCAGGACCAGAAACAACAACGAAAACTATTATCACTGTTACTACAACTACAACTATTACAGCTACAACAACAACCACCACAAAAGCTACAACTTCAACTACAACAACAGCAACTACTACTACTGAGACAACAACACCTACCACAGAAACAGCAACTACTACAACAGAAACGACAACCACTACTACAGAAACAGCAACTACTACAACAGAAACGACAACCACTACTACAGAAACAACAACAACAACAACGACAACTACAACAACCACCACCACAACAACTACTACAACAACAACAACAACAACCACAACATCTACAACAACAACAACCACAACATCTACAACAACAACAACCACAACATCTACAACAACAACAACCACAACATCTACAACAACAACAACCACAACATCTACAACAACAACAACAACCACAACATCTACAACAACAACAACAACCACGACATCTACAACAACAACAACAACAACAACAACCACAACATCTACTACTACTACTACTAGTACCAGTAAGTAATAGGCTAAATAATAAAATCATGTTTTCTACAGCGTCTTGCTGGAAAAATTTTGAATATTTAAAAATTGTTGAACATTGCATATGCAAAGATCGTTGAAATAAGTTGAAATTGGACTTTGAATATCTGGGAAAGCGTGGAAGCATCAGGTCACGAAACAAACTTCATCTAGTCATACCCACTCAAGAGAAAATGAAATGGCTGTTATTCCTCGATTTTTTTCTCTGATTTTCGGTGATTTTTAGCTTTTTTAAAGTTCAAACAGATGTCATGACTGATCGGACACTATTTTTGTACTAAGACATTATGTAGATTTTGGACTAATGAAATAGATGAGCATTTAATAAGTAAATCAACACTTAAATGAAAGAGTTGATACAGAAAATTGAAGAATTTATACAACTATTTCTATTCTTTAATACAACTGTTGATTTTGTAGATAAATCTTCAATTAGTGTCCAGAAAATCAAAAGGATCTTATCCTAAGATAAATAGGGCTTGGATAGAATTCTGAATATTCAATTAGATCGAACGGGTTCGTAGGATCGACTAGGAAAGCGTGAATGACATCTCTTCAATCTAAACGAAAAACTTTTTATTTTTATAAGTTTTCTTTTATTCGATGACACTAGAAAATAGACGAACAATCTATACTTGGATCATTCTAGCAAGTTTCTATCATCTTACAAAAAGATAATCCCTGAAAAAGTAAAATTTGCCAAATTGATTAATTCACCTTTTCATTGATTTATTGTCTTTGGATTTGCTAACATCTGCCAGCATCTGAAAATGTAAACAGTCAACTTTTTTAAAGTCAATATCGATTATGTTCTCCAATTCATTAGATGTTCTATCAAACCAGTGCAAAGTACCTGCTTTCTTACACTGAACAAATGTTCAAAGAATCATGTTTTCAAAAATGTTTGTTCCTCTTTGGATGCAGTTACTAGACAGATGCCCATAATCGATCACTACAGGCTTAATAACTTTCTAGGTATTGCTAAATGAAAGATATTTTTTAATGTCTTTGAATCTACACCATAGTACTATTTAGTAACATGAAAAGGTGAGCATTTGCATATTAAAAGATGCTAGTTATTATTATTAATGCATTATGGAATCTATTTTGAATCCAAGAACATAATCAATGCATTGATTTGCAAAGTTGATGATTCATGTTTCTAGATGCCGCCATATTTTCTCAAATCTGACTGCGCCAAAATGACCATTAGCATCGATTATATAATATCAATGGGAGAATTTTATGAAACGAAGGAGTATACAACTACTACGGAGAATTCAATAATTTTCAGGTAAAAACACAACATTTATTTCGAGCTTCGAACAAAATGTATGTATCGTTGTCGAGTGATTACCAAAGAAAAATCTCGAGTCGACTCTCTCTCTATATGTATTCTCGATGTTTTTTAGCAAATCAATAGAATCTAAAATCAAAGAAGATGTACAGTTTAATACAACATCTAGAAGACCTAAGTTCCCATGAATTCACCTTTGTAGGAATTATGAATGTTTACAAAATATCAATCGAGCACGGAAATGCTCGTTCAAAGAGGTCTTAACTTGAATTTCACGTCATTGAGGCATATTTCACAGGTTGTTTTGTTTAAAAGAACTTTCTAAAATCATTCTTCTAAGCCTATTGTTTTCTAGAGTTAGTCTTTCTTGTTATCATCGTTTTGTTTTGAAGAGAAAATGTATTTTTTAATGTTTGCGTTTTTGATAAGTGATTTGAATGATTATTTGTGGTAATCATTTTTTACGGGTACCACTGTTTTTAGCTGCTGATACGGTCGCTTCTTGATCAGAGTATACTAGAATGAATGCGTTATTTTCGTATTCTGTTAGTGCCTGTTGCGTTGCTTATTTCTGAATGAAGATCTTTTTAACAATAACCTTTACGTCCCATATGCCTCTTCTAACTATATGTTGTAAATGCCCATTTAGAGTCAACATCTTTCTCATCAGATACAACGCAGACTGTGGGTGTGCGTATTAGTGTAGAGAAGACTCACATTCATACCCACCACGAAATTCATTAGGTCATATTTCATAGAATATATATACTCTTCAAAGGCTTTGACTTTAAAAACTATTAGAACTTGCAAACGAGTGAGTTCTAATTTAAAAGATTTTGAAATTAATGTGAAATGAAAATACTTTCGATTGAAGTTATTTTGAAGCATTTACTATCCAAAAGCTTAAAAAACGAAAGTGCAAAAGTCTTTTGTTCCTAAAAAGATAAAAACAAACATCCAAAGAATGCAAGGACTCCATTTTGTCCTGGTTTCAACATCTGTCAGGTCATCTCTGCTTGCAGAAAAAACCATCAATATTTCAATCATGTTCCATGAGATGATGATGATTCACTTTCGCAGATATTAAAGGTACTAATTACAAATTGTACTTAGAAAATATTGAATAGTTCATTGTATAAAAGAAAACTCAAAATGGAAAAATGGAACAATTTCATCAGGCCAGGGGAAAGAATGTTTTTAAAACGAACTACAAACTGACCCACATATGCATACATAGATAGACATTTTCTTAATTAACTTCTAGACTTGAGAGACATTTTAGTTTTGTGAATAAAAATAAACAATTTCAAAAAATTAATCATTTAAA